GAAGATTTTTTTCTCGAGGTATGGTGAAATCGGCGGACGGTGGTGGTTCTTCTTCAGTTGCGCCGTTCTTGAAGAAATGCTACGATATGGTCGACGATTCTTCATCTGATTCTATAATCTCTTGGAGTAAAAATGGAGATAACAGCTTCGTAATCTTTGACACGACCGTCTTCTCTGTTCAAATCTTGCCCAAATACTTCAAGCACAGCAATTTCTCTAGCTTTGTTCGTCAGCTCAATATCTACGTTAGTCCTTTCTCTCTTTTCAGTTTTCAAGAATTGGCTCTCGTCAGAATCGGAGATTATATGCTGAATTGTTCAACTTGTGTTGTTTCTTTATACATTTAGATTTCATTGTTCTTGTGTGGAATCTTGAAAGTACAAGATATGACTGGTTTGATTTACTTGCTCTTGTGTGTGGAATCTTGAAAGTACAAGCAAAGTTTTGTTTTTGTTTTGTTCTGCTTCTTGAAAGTGTGGATAGCTTTTAGAGCAAATGGATTTCTCACTGTCAATCTCTTGGTTAGGTGATGAACTGTAAGAGCTTTAAGCATGAGGAAAGATGTTTTCTTTAACTCTTATGATTCTCTAATTTATCTGTAACAGCTTTAAGAGATAGCACTAGTCACATCTTGAACACTCTTTAGCTTGAGTAATTATCAATATAGTGTGAATTTGGTTTATCGATCTCAGTGTAGACGTGCCTGATTCTTGGATGAGATAAAGTAAAGTCTGTGATTTTGTTTTCAGGGTTTTAGAAAAGTTGATGCAGATCGTTGGGAGTTTGCGAATGACGGGTTTGTCAAAGGTCAAAAGGATTTACTGAAGAATGTTATCAGGAGGAAGAATGTTCAAAGTAGTGAACAGAGCAAAAGCGTTTACAAAGAGGAAGACAGTACAACCGAAGCTGCTCAGGAAAAGCCCGAGAAGACTGGATTGTGGAAAGAAGTTGATATCTTGAAAGGTGATAAGAACGTATTGGCGCAGGAGTTGCTCAAAGTTAGGCAGTACCAAGAGACCACGGACACTAAAATGGTAAACTTGAAAGACAGAGTTCAAGGAATGGAAGAGAGTCAACAGGAGATGCTTTCGTTTTTGGTAATGGTTATGCAAAATCCAAGTCTTTTAATTCAGTTGCTTCAACCGAAGAAGGAAAACAGTTGGCGAATGGCGGAAGGAGCAACAATTCTAGAAGAAGTTAACGATGAAGGAGAATCAAACTCAACTGGTCTTCCTTTAGTAACATACCAACCACCATCAGACGGAACATCAAAGTCAAGCTCGAGCGACGTAAACGATTTCCTGAGCAACGCAAATATATTGAAATTCTGCCTGGATGAGAATCATGTACCGTTGATCATACCTGATCTATATGATGATGGAGCATGGGAAAAGCTTTTGTTGTTGAGCCCTTCA